CCGCCCCCCCCCCGCCCCCCCGCCATCCCCGCACCATCCTCCTACCATCCCTCCGCCGTCCTCCCGTCATCCTCTTGCCATCCCCCCACCCTCCTCCCACCATCCCCCCACCATCCTCCTACCACCCCTCCGCCGTCCTCCCACCATCCTCTTGCCATCCCTCCGCCATCCTCCTGCCATCTCCCCACCATCCCTCCTCCGGTGCTGCCGGGGGATGCAGTCCCCAAACGGTACCCGCTACCGTTGTTTGTTCGGAGCCAAAGCGCACGTAGTAACTCTATTGCAAGGGCATCTCTGGGCTTAGAGGAGCAATGAGCACAAGGAGACGTCCCGTGGGAAACGCCGAGCGGGCAGCGGGCTACTCAACAACCTAGACCAAAGCGAAAACGTAAGCAAAAAGTATCTCCCAGTGCTGAAGAGATCTGATTTTCAAGAAATCTGTCACTACTAAATAGGGGTCAGTATGCAGCTCAGGAAAGTGAATTACTTGTAGCAAAGCCAAGAAGTGAGATCAACAAAAACATTTCAAGTCTCAGTCCAAAAAAGAAAAGGCCTAGCACATGTGCTGTGGAGACCTACGGTTTGTATGCCAAAAGCTCTGGTACTTTACTTTTAACCCTCTTACCTCGACGTGGATATTACTTACTACAGCTGAGAATTTTCACTGGATAAATTGGTTTTCGATGGTATATTGAGTCGACTAGTGAAATTTTGTTGGAAGGTGTGTATCTGACCCATCTTCCACCTCATGGATAAGTGAAACAAAGTGTTAGTGTAATGACACGCAAAGGGTCAAACAGTTGGGGTAGGCAAGGCCGCTAAAACTGATAGAGAAAGGGGAAACAAAAGTGTGAGAGTGAGGAAGTATTTTAAAGTGTTTGGGCTAAGTTATGGGTTCTCCGTGTCAAACCAAGGTGATGTTACCTGGCTGTCTCTCGGTGATACTGTGCAGGGCTACTCAACATGTTTCTCGGTGGCTTTGGAAAAAGAAATAATCTAGTATTGCGGAGCAAGTTATCTTGTTGAAGACTTCGGCTAGACCACAACTGGTAAGTTGAGAAGAAGTAAGTCTGTTTTGCTACCAGGTCACAAAAGATCATTTAGAACAACTGCATACTACCCTCAGAGTATATTTCCAGTTCTACATGGGATGTGGTCATTTCCTCGACTTTCATTTCATCTTTAAAGTATTCTCAGGAGGGTTTTCATGTCCAAAATGATTTTACACTAGTGCTGTTCATACCAGCTTCTGTCATTGCATGTGTCATCAGGAATCTTCTGCTTTCTTGAAGCTATGCTACAGGACCCAAAAGAAGGACAAACAACCTGATGGTGATTCAGAAGAGTAGCTCCCTGGTAATGTGGAACACCCACTGTGCTTCGTTCTAATTGCTAGCACATTAAGCAGATAAACAAACTCTTAATGATCACATACGCATTTCATTGGTCATGGAGGTACATTGCAAAGTGCCTAGGTTAAATGCAGAAAATACAAGTTTGTGTGAGAAGATGAGGCAAAGAAGTAGTTATTATTAAAAAAAAAGCAACCTGTACTGCCTATTAGATAGCACAATGCTAATTCAGAATCAGCAAGGCAAACAAAAATGTTTCAGTCATTTGTCTAGTACAGCTCTTTTTGAT